GCGCCGTGTGCTCCGCCGCGCAATTCGGCGCGCCCCTCGCGCGGATCGCGGCCCCAGAGGGGGCGCCACCGAAGAATATTCACAACTGCGGTACTCACAACTGCATATGGTTGGGTCCTTCGCCAGGCTAATTTATTTTTCGTTCCAAATCCGCCTGCAGGGGGACATGCCCGAGCTATATGCGGGAATCTGCGCCGCCCCCACAGGTGGCAGCTGCGCCGATGCCGCTGCTCCAGAACGCGGGGGCACCTGCCAGACTGCTGGATTCAGTCAGCATCCCAGTGCTAGACATATTTGAAAAACGACATGCGCCAGCAGGGGCGAAACGCCCAAGTTGATTCACCGGTAAGTGCTCGTAGTGACGCAGTGGCCATGGAACGGGCCCTGCATGAAGATGCAGTTGCCTTCGTGTCGCAGGACACCTATTCAATGCGCGGCGGGTGTCCGAGAGGGCTGACCTCATGCTGCATGCTAGATCACTTGGATGCTGCATGCTAGAGCACGGGCGACTCACGCGGAAAGAACAACGCGTTTCTCGCGCGAGTTGGGATCCGACGACCATGCCTTTCTTTTACAATGGATGCGTGGTGAATCAGACGCGGCTCAGGTGTCAGGTGGGCGAAGGGGCGGCCCATCTTAACGCGCTGATGGGGGGCCAGCGTGCGTGTGCTATTGGGAAGCTAAACGCACTTGTTCCTGGCCAGCTCAGCCTCCGCGTGGATCTCGGTTCTCACATTGAGATCATGGGGGCGGGCGCCGCTCGCCGTTCCAACCGCGTGGCCAAGCGGCGCGGTTATTCGTTATGCGCGGTCGCCCTCGTCAACCTCTTACCTGTTAGCGGAGTCGGTAGTGGGTCCGCTTGGCGTCGCGCTCGTCGCGGTCAGCGCGCGCGCGCAAGTGCTCCCGCGATATGTCGGATCCGATCCGCGCGGATCGATTCGTCGGCAATGTCGCCGAAGTCTCTGGCGAGGACCTCTCCGCCATCCTCGGTCTCGTCTCTATGTGACGCAAGGGGGCCGTGCATCCTTGGTCTCGCATCCATGGCCGCGAAAAAATCATATTCCCAGGTTCCACAAACTGCCGGGTGGTCATGGGTCGGGGGGCCAAGGTGCCGCGTCTCGAGAAGACGCCATCGGTCCACTCGGTCATCCTGCGCCCCGACTTCGGGGGCGCCACTCCCAACCCAGCTGAAAGAACAACATGATGGGGCCGTCGCCTACGTGAGCCGCGGGATTGGGCCTGAACGTGGGCAGACATGCCAGGCCACGCCCCCCCCCCCCCCCCCCCGAGGACTTGCTCGCGACGCGGTCGGTATTGACAGCCAGGCCAGTGGCGATTCCGACGACACCTTTTTTCGCCAATGTTTCGATCGAGCTGCTGACGATGTGGCCAAAAGAGTGGTCAGCGCGACAATGCGTCGCTGGCGTCGCTCAGATCGCCCCGTCGACGCCGCAAGATCGCGCGCGAGCGCTGCTAGCGGGAACCATATATAAGGTGAAGGCCGCTGCAGATGGGTGGGAACCAGACGAGCATACTCACAGGCTGCACCCCAACACGCGCAAGATGCAAGAGTGGGAAGCCGTGCCTACGGCGGATCGGGACCACCTCCCAGCTCTAGACACTTGGGCGCCAAACCTGCATGACATTGGTTGTTCCAAGCTCATCGCTGCGCAATTCTGCCGGACAACGTGACGGGGGCCGCGATGGGGGGCGGGCGTTTCCGAGGGGCGAGATGCCGGGCGTCTTGCCCCACATCGACCAGCCGTGGAAGCGGCGGGCCAGCGCGTCGTCCGCGCCAGCTTGCGCAGCGCGCAGGCCGCGTGAGGGCCCCCCCCGCGCGGCCGTTTGCTACGCAGCTGCCAGTGGTCCTTTTTATTAGAAAGCCTTGTGCCCGAAAATGTTAAAGCTGCTGCCGCCGATCTCCGCCGCTGGGGCCACCTGTGTCATCGCTCATTCATGGCGAGGTGATGACATCTATGTGCGCACTATGCCCTGGTGGCCTAAGGGCGGTGGGTTGCGCTCTACTCTCGGCGGCCACGCCTGGGCGGATTGGCCCGCGCGACTACCTAACAAGCGGCCGGGCTTCGCCACGAGCGGACGCGTGGCCTCCGAACGGACGCACGCGCTCTCAGGATGCCGATTATCATCGCGGGACCTCTAGGATATTCTTGGTAGCTGGGACCCAGAAAAGAAGCGTTCGAGGCCTTGGACCTCCTAGCTCTCCGGATGCGTCTATGTGATTTCGGCATGTTATTTGGTCGTGCCAGCAAGAAGCCAATTTGTTCGCATGCACAGCAATGTGCTACATGCCCTGGGGCCCCAGTTAACTTATGGCGCTGCATGTGCACCTCTGTCACGGAGCGCGAGCTGGACTTGCGCGGGCGCGGCCAGCAATGTGCCAGATGGCGCGCCGAAGCCATGCCAATCTTGATTTCCTGATTTCTGGAACAATTGGACATGCGCACCACGGCGCTAAAGAACGATCAGGACATCTATTTGAGCGCGCTCTCCCGCGCAGATAAACGCGCGAATGCGTGCGTACAATCGCCCGCCGACGGACTGAATGGAGGACGTCATCCGTCGAATTATTTTTAGACCTTGATACCGAAGAGGTGATGCAACACATGCGCGTCAGGGATCAACCAACGGGATACGACTGGAATGCACCTCTGCCACCAGGTGTCCGCAACGTGCGTGCGCGAATGCGCTGGGGGCCCGCGGCCCATGGCATGCTCGGCCACGTGCGACGAACGCGCGACGCCCAAACAGACGAGTTACGTTCATCGCAGATGATCGATCTACTCTCTTCTCGACCTACGGGCCTGGCCGCGAGCTCGGCAGCGAGATGATACGCCCGATTGTGCCACCTCCGACACTAATAGCGAACGCGCCGCAAACAGCGCGACCGGCAGATGCACGGCTCAAACAGGAAGAGACACAAAGGCAGACACAGCGGCCTGCGTCAAAACAAATAAAGCACCCCAAAAGGTTGAGGACCGCGCCGCCGATTGTTGTGACGACCTCAAGGGTCTGGACTGTGCCGTGCTCTTCGCCGACATTCCGACTGAATAATTTGGCTCCGACGACGACGTCGTAATTTTCTTCATTTTGGCCGTTATGGCAGACGCGCATGTCGGAGTTCTCGTTGTTCGAATTGCGCTGCGTTGCGGTCGCGACCAACAGCTGCGTCGGCATGCTGGAGCTTTGTGGCGGCATTGGAGGCACGCCATACATTGCCTTCGAGAGACGGCTCACCCTGGGAGGCAACTTGGAGAGAAGAAGCAGCGTCGAACTAACGGACCCACCGGCAAATCAAGCCGTGGAGCACGACCTGGACGCGTGATTTGCCACGGGCGCGATGTTGCATTCCAACACACAGAACACCTCCCCCACATTACCCTATGTGGCAAGGTCGCCGCCGTGCAAGGCGATCAACAACATCTTCTCCTCCGGGAACAACTCATGGGCACATGGGTAGACGAGACTGCCCCATGGACAGCCCCAGCATACGCAAGGTTACTTGCAAACATTTCATGTGCCAATGCTCGACAGGGCACGCTTTTTCAGAACCCACAGAAATGATGGCCAACCACCAACTTGCACGGATACCTTTTAAAAACTATGACATGCCAAAGCCATCCCGAACATGCGCGTGCATGCAGAGAGGAAGGATTATGGCTTCTGGGACGCGAATATGGTGAAATGTATAGCCTCGGGGACGCGACTATTGCGTAATTGACTAGGGTGTGTTGCCTCGGGGACGCGACTATTGCGTAATTTACTAGGGTGTGTTGCCTCGGGGACGCAACAGTTGTGTAATTTACGAGGGTGTGTGGCCTCGGGGACGCGAATGTTGTATACGTTACGAGCGATGATGGCATCGGGGGCTCGAGTCTCATGTGTTTGTATGTGTCCCACGCCCCCCTGAGAATTCAGGCATGCTGGTTTGGGCCTCCCTCTCGCGCGGACTTTGACAGTTTACCGTAGGAAGCAAAAAGCACGCGTGTAACAGTGAAGATTTGAACTTGCAACTGGTGCAGGGAACAGCAACTTCGTGCTACAGCTTGGTGACCCCGCAAAGGGGGCGGCGGATACACATATGTATATATTGATGTCTATGTATATGTATATGTGTATGTTTATGTATGTATGTATGTATATGTATGTATATATATGCATATACATAAGTATACTTGCGTGAATAAACCAGAAAATGTAGTGTGACGCGGCTCGGCGCACGGCTCCCCCTTCTTGATTTCGAACGGAGGTTAAAGGCGAGCATGGCAAGCACCGTGCTCACGTCCGCCGCCGTTTGTATCGGCGCCGCTCTATTTGACTACCCAGTTTGCGAGGTACTATGCATCTGATAAACGGATAGGCATACGTCTACATCCTTCGACGATGTATTTTGGATCCCATACTGTATGTCATATCGACCGATTTATCCCTACCGCGTGGATTAGCCATGGGATACCATTGTGCGCCTAAGACGTAATGTTCGGTACGGGTTATCATATCTGTCGATTCTTATTCCGTATTGACATAGCAACTCTTGCGGACGGGGGCAGCACATTGCCATCCAGGCGTGGATGGCGGGGAACGGGAGAGCGCGCTGGCCGCCGCTTCAGGGAACATCCCACGTGGAGGGGGCAACGCGGTCGCGACGAACAAACGAGAATTGCAGACATCAGTATCGTTTAACCGACCCTTGTTCTCATCCCCACCTCCATCCGGACCCCCACCATCTATGCACCCGGTTTGGGGACAGATTTACCGAAACCCGAAGGAAACGGCCTTTACCCCCATCTACGGTGGTAAATGGGCCAGTGGGGCCCAGGCCACGCTCAAAGGGGAGAAGGGTCGGACAAATGGTGCTCAGGACAAGTGATTCACGCAAACAGTGCAGACGAGCAACGACGGCGACGACAACGACGACGGCCGTCGAGGGGGCTCCGCGCGCGGGGGCCGCGCGTACCCGGCGGTGCCGGCGGTGCTGGCAGGAGAAGCAGGATCGCGAGCGCGAGGAGGCGCGCCTACGCCGGGAGGCGGCCGCTTTCGGGGGGGCTCGTCGTCGTCGTCGTCGTCGTCGTCGTCGTCGTCGTCGTCGTCGTCGGCTTCGTCGTCGTCGTCGTCGTCGTCGTCATCGGTGGATCCGGGTGGCGTTCACGGAAATTTGCCTGCTGCCCTTTTGGAGAGTTTGCTGCCCTTTCGGAGAGCGGGGTCGTGTCGCTGGCCCAGTGGCGTAACCAGTCCACATGAGGGCTGGTGGCTGTTTCTGCTTTGGCCCACAGGCTGGGCCGCGTCCACGGCTAGGCTGTGCCCCTATCCAGGGGTTGGCTACAAATGCTGCGGTGGAGGGACCGTGGATGGTCTCGCCAGGAGGGTTGGTTCAGAGTAGCAAGAGGTCATGATCACGATCCGATCCAACATGTCCGAGGCTTCCAAGATTACCAGTATTCCCTGGTATTCCGCACGGGCTCCCGAAACGAGTGCCGCTAAATCATCTGGAAATCCTAAAACGTATTCTGAGCCAATCCTATGATGACATCATTCTCGTTATGTTGGTGGGGGCCTCGACCATTTTGCCAGCCTTGGTCTCCCTGCTCCCCAGCCCTCCTGGCGCTTCAGAGGACGCAGGCCCTCCCCGGTGGCCGGGGCGCCACGAGAGCCCGAGCGCCCCGGCGTTGTCGCCCCGTGCGCGCAGTTTCTCGCGCATTTGGCCACCCGGCCACGGGCAGATGTTCGAGTCGGCAGGGCGCAGCCGCGCGCAGAGGGGAGCGGGGGGGAGGGGGAGGGCTTCTTGGAAGCACCCCTGCTTCTGAGACAACGCGGGCCTTGTTGATAGATGGAGGGCTGGCGCCTTCTAAGAAGCAGCCTCCTTCTAGCCTCCCCCTCCTACCCTCTTACGCGCGCCGCCAAGGGGCTCTCATCACAGGGGCCTGGATTCCTGGCGAGGCAGGGCGCTTCTAATGCGTTGTAGTGGCAGCGGGCGCCTCTTGGACTGCCTGGGCCAAGATGGCTGGATGCTCTTCGGGTTGCTCCCCTCCCGAGGTCCTAGACTGGGGACGTGCTCGTGGGAGGCGGCGCCGAGGTGGCCTGGCAAGCCCGATGTGAATGGAGATGGGAGGGGTGGGAGGGAGGCCCCCCCCCCCCCCCCCCTTCGGGCGACGAAATCTATACATATCCACTGCTCCCTGGCCAGGCCCACTCTGAACCCAGGAGCTGTGTATACGCCCTCCTGGCCCAGCCAGGAGGGTGTGGCGTATACACTGCTGCTGGGTTCACGGTGTGCCTGGCCAGGGAGCAGTGGATATGTATAGATTCGGTCGCCTTATCCCTCCTGCCCTCCCTTCTGTCCCTCCTGCCCTCTGAATCGCAGGAGAGCCCGCACCCCCCTCCTCAAACCCAGCCGTCCTTCGTAGCTGCTGCCAGTTTCTCGGAGGGCCTCCCAGACGGCCCCCAGAGAGACTCGCGTGGCTTCTCAAGGCCCCCCCACAGCCTCCTATAGCTTCCCAGAGCTTCACGGCTTCCCCAAGCTTCCAGGGCCCACCCACGCCTCCCAGAGCTTCCCATGGCTTCACAGAGCCTCCCAGGGCCTTGCAAGACTAGACTAGCACAAGGGGCGCGCGTCGCTCGCACGTAGGTTCTTGCAATCACCCGCCTTCGACATCGCACAACTCGACATGTGCATGAACCCATGAATACGCGCACAGTTGCGACAAGAATGACGAGGACATGCCCAGAGAGCCAAGGAGGGAAGCCTCACCACAGGTCCCCCCTCTTCCCTCCATTTCTTGTTCCTTCTGCTAATGCTTCTCCTTCCTCTCCTCGTCCGTGACCGGCTCCTCCTCATCATCCCCACCCTCCCTTGGGGGTCTCCCTTTCTTCTTCATTATCATCATCGGCAGCATCATCCGCATGATCATACTCATCAGCAGCATCATCACCATCATCAACATCATCATCATCATCATCATCATCATCATCATCATCATAATCATAATCATAATCATAATCATAATCATAGTCATCATCATCATCATCATCATCATCATCATCATCATCAGCAGCATCATCATCATCATCATCATCCTATCATTGTCATCCTCCTCATCATTCTCCCCGCCTTGTCATCGTGCTCCTCCTCCTCTCCTTCATGTACAAACATCTTGCCTGCAGGGAGAGATTGGTACTCCCTCTCACGTTTACGATTCGGCCAGTGCTGCTGCTCGTTCCCATGTGCTCGCTGACCAGCGATCGCGCGGTGCGTAGGAGTGAACTGAGACTCTTCAGGGGACGTTCACTTCTCCCCCGCCTTCTACTTGGGGCTGTTCTTAAGCCGCCCGGGCCTCCCTCTGCTTCCCATCCTCGTCCTTGTCGTCACCCTCCTCGTCGACGTTATCCTGCAGGGGGGACATGAGGATGAGGATGAGGAGGTCTGGGCGCATCCATGCATAGTTAACCCCTGGGCATGCACCCCCCACAGGACACATGTTTGCCGCAGAGATCGTGGAAATGATGGGTTGCGTCCCGTTAGAGCGCGGGGCCTTTGTACAATGTTGGATCTGATCGATGATCAGTTTTTCAGGCTGGAACCTCGGTCCTGGATCGATCCTTGACCCTGGACACTAGAGCCTCCTTTCTCGATCGATCCAGGACTTCTCGTCCTCAGTCGATCCTGCGTCCTCCATCCTGGTCCTTGGATTTTCGGCCGACTCTGGCTTTCCGACCTTCGCTTGTCACTGGATCCTGGATAAGGTATTTGTGTTCCCATCAATTTTCATTCGTCGACCTCCGACCGATCTTCGGTACTCGTTTCAGGATCTTCGATACGCCATCGACCTTCGATCGTCGAGCTTTGATCGGTCCTGGATCCAGGAGCCTCGTTTTGCGGTCGATTCTGGATATTCGATTCTCAATCTTCTCTCGTCGATCGGTCCCGGATCGTCGACCTTCGAAATACCATGGGTCCTCGATCTTGCGTCCCCGATGTTCGACAGATCCTCGATCCTGTCCTGAAAGCAGGAGCACAGTTTATTTATCGGTTCTGGATCCTCGATCCTCGATCTTCGTTCTTCGATCGAAGATCGAGGAGTCATGGCCAAGCGACGATCGAAAATCCAGGCTCGACCGAAAACCGAGGATCGAATATCAAGGACCCAGGATTAGTCGAATAGCACAGACCCGGGATCGACCGAAAGCTAAGTTCCAGTATCCAGGATCGATGTGATGTGAACGGTCAAATACCGCTGGAGCATCTAGGATCCAGGATCGATATTCCATCACATTTCACGAGCATTGAGGAATGATGTAATGTAAACACTCATCCTCCTCCTCGTGGTCCTCCACCTCCCCTAACAACTCCAGGGGTCCGCAGCCAGAGACAGATGAGAGCCCCACCTCGTAGCCCTGCGCAGCCAGAGACGCACGGTTGTTTCCGTTAAGCTTGGTTGGCCTTCTGATGGCCCGCTCACGGAGTGGGCAGGAGTCCCCTTGCGGGATTTAGTGGGTTTGCTCTTCGCCTGGCGCCGTCGAAAGTATCCAGGACACTTCCCGTTTGCTGATGGCTTTGCGCAAGCATCTCGAGCAGCAGCTTCGCCGTGATCGGGATCAAAGCTCTAAGGCCTGGAAGGCTTGGGCCCAGTCGGCCGCGCAGGAGAAGGGTGGCAGCGCTGCGTGCAAGTTTGTTCGTGACTCGGTCCATCTGTCCCAAGTGATGGCGGCCGACACTGAGGCCCGCCCTCCCCTCCCTGTGTCTGGCACCACGGCTCTTGAGAGCATTGTGAAGGCCTGGGAGCCGCTTTGGGTTTCTAAGCAGAGGGCTGGTGAGCCCCACCCTGCGTCGTGGGATCTCGACGCCATCTGTCAGGAGGTGCGGGCGGAGGACGGCCGGGGGACAGAGGAGTGCGCGGCTGGTTTCGAGGCCGCGGGGGTTCAGCAGGCTTCGGAGGATCGGATCCAGGCCGCTGCCCCCACTGACGATGGAGCAGCTCGATCATGTCCTGGGGACTTGCTCGTCTTCAGCTGGTCCCGGCTTGGACAAGCTCCACCCGCGTCAGATACAGTTGCTGCCTCCAACCTACCATCGTGCCTTCTTGGACATCCTGACTGCGTTGGAAGCCCAACCACAGTCCCTAGAGCTCTGGCTTTTGCCTGTGCTTTTAAACAGTAAGCCGCAGCCCCCTGGAGGTGTCTGCCCGATTGTCCTCCTCCCTCTGTGGTGCAGTGTGTGGTGTCGCCTTCGGCAGCCTGTCTTCCATCGCTGGGAGAGCTCTCTGGACAATCCTGCCTTAGGGGGCGATGCTGGTCACACATGTGGCAGGTCAGGGCATGTGCATAACATTTGCCGCGTAGTGCCGGGCTGAAAGGATTCTCGGCCTCCAGTGGAGTGCTGGGCCTCAGCAAGTAATACGAATCCATATCCCATTAGGAGCTCAAGAGAGAGGCCGTCCACACGGGATTCCCTCTCAAGTTGTTCAAGTGCCTCTGCGTGGTGTATAGGTTTCCTCGGCGTGCCATCTGGGAGGGAGTGGTGCCAGTGGCAACAGATTGCTCATATGCCTTGGCCCTGGCCAAACTCTTAGTTCACACCGTCATTGTGAAGCTCCAAACCCAGTTTCCTGCGGTGCGTTTTCCGAATACTGTGGATGTCTTTTTGTTGCATGGCGTGGGGACCCAGGCTCAAGTGGTTGACCAGTTTCCTGACGCCATGCTAGGCCTGGTCCGAGGCCTCGAGGCGAAGCTGTTGTGAGTCGATTGGGGCAACACTGGTTTCCTGTCCCGCGGTCGCGAGCTCACGGATGCCCTGCCAACCAGATGGCGCCTCGAGGAGAAGGACCGTGTGGTGGGCGCCAGGTGCGTGGGCACATACGCCAACGACGTCTCGGCTCGCAGTATAGACGAACAAGACAAGCGGCTGCAGACAACCCAGTGTGTCTCTGCCAAAGTACGGTAGGTTTGCGTCGTGTCGACCAGCGGCGACCCCGCCAGCGGCGTTCAAGGTTGAACGCCGCGGGCGACCCAGAATCGATCGATGTGGAACGATCGGACGTTGCGGCAGCGGCCGATCGTTCAAGGTTGAACGATCCCTGCGGTGTCAAAAACCAACGCCGGGGTCGGCACGACACGAACCTGCCGTAATTCAGCTACGTGCTACGTGGGGCTGGCTCGCAAGCCAGCACGGTGATGAGGGGGGTCTCCTACGGCGATGGCGGTGTGGGGGTCGGCGGCGACGGGGATCCCGGACGTTAAGACGCATGCTCTTCGTCGCACGGCCTTCCGTGCAGAATGGACGCCTCCCTGCGGGCGCATTTGTCTGCGCCTCCGTGCGTCACCGCGCGTAACCTTCCGAGACCCGCTGATTGTTCACACGGTCGAGGTCATGAAACATTGGGCTTTGGCGGCCGCCGCGGCCTTCCTTGGGCGTGGGCCTCTGGATGTCTGCTGGTCCGAGGGTCGGTCCCTCCTGGCTCGGCCCCGCCCCTGGACCCTTTGTGTGGGCCCAGCCCAAGCCGTGCTTCTTTCTTTTGCTCGGGTGGACGTTGCTATGCCCACTGCGTTCAGTTTTGTGGCCAGGGATGTCGAGTATTTTGTGTTTGAGTTGTCCCTTGTTTTTTTGTTGCGGGCGTGGCAGGCAGGTGGCCTTAGACGCCTCAGATATTCTGTCTCCCAGGCGCCTCGCAGGATCTTGGCATGCGCTTCTGCATTGGGCACCTGTGTGTCGTTCGCTTGAGGACAACAGGAGTCTGAAAACTAGACGGCCCACCAGCAGAATGCGATTCGCTTTCTGATCGGTGGCTCACACTGGACACTGGGGTGTGGATCAGAAGCATTTTGGATGCTTGTAGGGGTATGTTGGGAAGCTTTTGGCGAGCCTCTTGAAGGCAGTTGTGATCGCTCGTGGCGCCTGTCAGAGGACGTTTGCGGCCTCTTGGGAGTTCGCTGGGGCCTCCTGGGACCTTCTTGGGGCCTCTTGGTGGCTTCTGGGGGGCCTGCTGAGCGTCTCGCGGGCCTCCTGGGGTCCTGCTGGGGCTCTCTTGGGGCTTCTTCAAGCTTTCGCGGACCGCTGGGGGCGTCTTGGGAGCATATCAGGAGCATCTTGGGCCGTCATGGGGGCCCTTTGGGCTATCTCAGGCCCCTTTGGGACTCTCGTGGGGCTCTATATTAGGCGATCGCAGAGCAACATTGAGGTTTGAAAATCCCTTCGGAAGCGATCGAGCGAGAACGCGAACGCCAGCTGAGATTTTGGTTGTTGTTGCAATTTGGGGCCCTCGGGGGCGGCATCGCAAGGGTCGGAGAGGCCATTCTATAGCTGCTATGTCGGGATCTCCTTGGGACAGTCAAGACAAGAGTCCTCTTGGAGCTTCGTGGAGCTCTGGAAGCCTACTGGGGTAGCCAGGGGGCCTTGTGGGAGGAGCGAGCCGCCCCCTGAACCATTTTGGAGGTCTATGGGAGACGAAATGGCCTCATGACGGCTCCCTCAGAGCCCCTCCCAGGACGCCCGGGGACAGCATGGGTTACGGTGTGGTGGTGAGCTCTAGACAGGCAGGCCGCCCCCTGGGCCCGGGGGCCCGGCCGCCGGGTACGCTGGCTGCTTCTCAGGACACCCCAGAAGCTTCCAGGGCCTCCCAGCAACCCTTTGAGCCTCCGACGATCTCTCAGGGGTTCCCCAGTGCCTCCGGCAGCTTCCCGGGGCCCCCAGGGGTCACTAGATGCACCCAGCAGGCCCCAAGATGTTCGGACACGGCCCCGAGAGGGCGCCAACACTGTGTCGAAGTAGTGCCCGTCGCCGTTTTGGGCCAAGGCATTCGGACGCAGGCCTGCTTTAGCAGCAAGCGATTCGGCTTGTTCCGGTTTCGCTTTCAATGCTCTGCGTCTCTCGGCTCGGGGGCGGAAAAGAGGGGGGTGATGACTAGGGGGGGGTGGATATCATGGCGAGGGCCATGATTTTTCCGCAGATTTCATGGCGCCTCTTCTTTTTTCATTACGTCCCTGGCCCCCCCGCTGGGCCGCGCACATGCCGCCGGTCATGATTTGCACCCCCCCCTCTTGGACACCCCCCTCTTTGCCGCTCCCGATCGGCTCTCGGGGAGGAGATCTATTCAATCGGTACACAGGGGGCCTTTTGGCAGTCGGCCGCGCAAGCCGAGCTCAGCACTAGCAGGCACTGCCCGCCAAACAACAGCAACTGGCTGCCCCTCCAGGTGAGTGCCGCTGCCGTCGGCGTCGGCGTCGGCGGCGTCGGCGTCCTCGGCGTCGTCGTCGTCGTCGTCGCAGATCTGGGTCTGGGCTGCTGCTGCCGCTGCCGCCCGCCGCGCCAGGCGGAGAGGCGCGAGTCGCGGAAGCGCGAGCTGGAGGCTCGTGACCCAGCCCACAAGGCGGCGCTGAAGCCCTCTCGGCCTGCCCTGCCGTGCTCCGTCGCAGCTTTCTTCTGCCCCCAGCGCTCGTGCGCTGGAGGCCTCGCGGCGCGGCGCCGCCAGGCCACCCCACGAACCACGCAGGAGTTTGGAGCGTCTCCCCGCGGGTGCCGCGAAGCCTCCTGGGGCCTTGGCAGGGGCTTCGCGTGGGGCCCAAAGGGGTCTGCACGTTCCCTGCCGCGGTCCAGCCAGGATGTTTGTATGTGTGTGTGTGTTTGCATATCTATATATGTATGTGTCTGTGTATGCGTCTGTGTATGTGTGTGTGTGTGTGTCACTCTCTCTCTATTTTTTTTTTCTCTCTCTCTCTCTCTTTCTCTCTGCGGCGGCACAGGCTTGGTTGCGAAGCTCTTTGAAGCACTCGTGGGGCTTATTGAACAGTGATACGGGTTCCTGTTCGAAGCTGCCTTGGCGAAAGGGCGTTCAAGCATTGACGAACGAGCTCGTCAGGAGGGGGATAATGATGAAGAAAGGACTGACCTTGCAGGATTGCCAGAGTAGCCGTTCGGAGGGAGATGAATCATATTGAAGAGGAGCGGGCGCTTCATTCTTAACGCTTCGCGTATTCGCAGCAGCCCATCCAGGAACGAGGCCTAAGGGATGCGTGGCATCATTTGGATAGCCTCGATGCCCTCATTGAACCAGAGCCCACCTGGATGCTTGCGGAGTCGCTTGGGATGCCTCCAGGGGGTCTCTTGGTGGCCGATGTGGCGTCGTCGGGGCCTCCTGGCTGCTCTTTGCGGCCTTGTTGGAGGGGGGTCTCTTAGGGGACTCTCGGGGGCCTGTTGGGGCGTCTCGGGGGCGTTTTGGGGTGCCTCTGGGGGGTTCGAGGTTCACTTGAGGCCATGATATTCGATCATGAAGAAGGGGCTGGGGGGGCCGCTGGAGCACCCAACATCGCCTCATGGAGCGCGCTTGGAGCTCTCTTGGCTGCTCTTGGGGCTGTCTTAAAGCCCTCTTGGACCCCTCTTGTGGGTGGGGCGTTGGAAGGCCCTCTTGAAACCATCTTGGGCCTCTTGGGCGCTCCAGCGACCCGCGGGGCGCCCTTTCCAAACCAATGGGGAGAAGGTATTGGGGAGAGGTCAAAATTCCCTCCCCGCCCGCAAGCCGTCTCGCTTACTCCCACCCGCCCTCCCTATCAGGCAAGCGACTTGAGGACACGCCTACTCCATGCCAAGAGGCACGGTGGCGAACTCCGACACGTCTGAGACACATATCCCTGATGTTTGTGGCCCTCCTAACTTGGATCCTAACTCCCGTATCCCCCTCCTCCGGTCTTCCCCTTCTCTCTCATTGATTTTTCTCCTTGAATTTTTCACCCTTCATTATCTTTTCTTTCTTATGGCTTCAATGAAATCTTCTCCCTCGTCCTCATTCCTCTCTCCTTCGTCCTTCTTCCTCCTTCCTCCCGTCTTCTTCTCTCTGGCCTGTGGCCGCCTACCGTGGGTCTCTGGCGCGCGTGTTATCGTGCTGTGGTTTTAGATTATTATTGATGCCTCGGCCAGAGGTTGAGATCAAGATCGAGCGCTCGCGCCAGTTTTCCGAGTTCGACGAGACCACGATCCCCATGCAGAGCGTGGAGGCTCTTTGCATTGACCAGAATGGGGGGACATAAAAGAGCCACGCTAGTAACTACAACCCATGCGCCATGCCCCTTGTCCTCCTCCTCCTCCTCCTCCTCCTCCTCCGCTTCCTGGCGCCGGCAAGGCTCGAGCATTTGCAGTCAGCCCCGCTGGCGACGGTGCCGCCCATCCCCCGTGCAGAGGCTTCACGCGCAGAGGCTCCGCGCGCAGTGCCCCTGCCTGCCCAGCACATCTGCGGCGCGGCTTTGTGGCGCCAGGCTATTGCCAGGGCCCGCGGCCACGTCGCAGGCGCCGTGGCCGAGGGCGCCGGCGACGGCGGCGCCCGGGCCGAGCGCGCCGCAGAGGCCGAGCGGCCGAGCAGCGCCCGAGCGCCAGGCGCGGGCCGACGGCGCGGCTGCAGCCGAGCGCGAGCGGTGGCGCACGGCAGAGAGCCGGCCACGCCTTCTCGTCCACGCCCTCGCCGTCCCCGTTTTTCCTCATCTACCGCCCCTACAGGCAGCCTCGTGGAGGCCAGGATGGGCTTCCGGCGAAGGCACCCCTCGGATCGGCACGATCGACGTGGGTACGGAGACAAGGGGTGCCACGCCCACCGGCAGGGTTTGTGCATTCTGATCAGGGCTCGTATTCGGCGTCGCCGCGGTCGTTGTCCATTTGGGATAGAGGGCCGCCTGCTTCACAACGGCCGCTGTCGGTTTTGGATAACGTTTGCTGTTGGGCATCGTTCCCATGTTTTCCGTATCCATGTGGAGCGTCCAATCAAAAGCCGGGGCAGTTGGCGGAGGCATTGCTCGGAGAGCTCGCCTCGCAGCGAGTGGTCATCTTCGAGAGGTGACAGGCGCGCGGCGCCGAGCGTGCAGCGGAAGCCGGGCGCAAGGCGGAGGCCAACCCGCGGGACCGGCGCACCAGCGCCCTGTGGCGTTGGTCCTCCTGGGGCCGTCTTGGGACCACACTGGGCTGTCTTGGAGAGAAATTGGGGTTACCTTTGGGCTCTCTTGGGGCCGTGTTGTCCGTCTTGGCCGCGCTGTCGGGCCGTCTTGGCGGCCATCGCTCAGAGGAGCATGAAGTATTGATATGGATAGTTTTCAAGATTTCCAGATGTTCCTGTTCTTCCGCGCGGGCTCCAGGGACGAATGGTTGAGCGCATTGCGTCGCGCAGGTTCTTTGCGAGATGTGCGCGGTGCATTTTTCGCGTATCGGAGCGCCCTCGGAGATTCCAAGCTGCATGCTGTGTTGCTCTTGGGGAGTCCGCGAATCGCACCTGCCGTGGCGCTGTTATCGAGGTGGCCCCTTCGAGTGCTGTTCGCGGGCGCAACGCGCGGCGCGCGCTGCGCCCAATCGCGCGCGGCGCGGTGCGTGAATCAGCAGGCCGCTCCCGTCGGACCGCCCGCAAATTATTTCTGGATTGTAGAATGTTTTTGCAAAGCGCTGCCATTTTTGGCGCAATCGTATCCGGAGTTTTTCCAAAAGGAGCCCGGCAATTTTCAAGAAAAGCAGTTTTGAGGGGTGGAATGCGCCCGCCGCGCAGGACATCTGAGTAGTTCTGGAATCCGGAATTGTTCAGAATTGATTCCGGTATTTTCCAAAAGCGGCCCCGAACATTTTTCAAAATCGATTCTGGTATTTTTTAAAAAGTAGGCGGGACATTTTCGACAATGTTCCAGAATTCTTCCTCGAATTTACCCCTGGAGAACTTACCAGAGTCGCGCGTGATTTGCTTTACCAGGTCTTTGGGAATCCGCCGAGGCGCGCGGCGCGCGGCGGCGGGCAATGGGACAGTGCGCCACCGTCCCCCCCCCCGCGCTCGGCAACGAGAAGGGGGATCAGCACGTGCCTAATAGGCCCCTACGGGCGACCACTCGATTGCGAATGGGTGACCGACCAGCAACGCCAGCCAGAGTAAACAATACTCGACGCAAAGTGTACCCCGCTCGAAAGCTGTTAGAAATCCCGGAATCCCTGGAACGTATCAATAGCACGTTGTGTCAATAGGTTCTTCTCGTCCTAATCTTGGGCGTCTTGGAGGCCGTGGAGGATTTTGTGCAATTTCGGGGTCTGCCTGGGTTGCTGGCGGCTTGGGCTGGAAGGCTCTGAGATTGTTTTGCAAGGGCCAGTGAAATCTGTATAGTCTGGCATGCCAGCGCCCCTTCGGGAGGTTACGAGGGCGGCCAACGTCAAGCGACGCTATTGGACATTGTGTTCCCGCAGCCATTGTGGACCCCTTTTGCGGGAACACCTGGGGGACGAATCTATCCGAGGATGAGCGGAAGGAGAAACAGGAGGAGGAGGTGGAGGAGGAGGATGAGGAATCAGAAAAATAACGGGCCTCTTTGAGGCCCTTTTCTGTCTCCTGGGAGCCTCCTGGGAGCCCCTGACGCGCCTCTTCAGGGCCTCCTGGGGCCTTTTGGGGCTTGGGGACCGCTCGGGGGCATTTGGGGGCCCGAAAGAGAGATCCCTTGGTCATCGGAGGCTGTCTTGGGACTCTGGACAGTCGTGGGTATCGCCTTGGGTGCTTTGGGGCCGCCTTGGCGGTCTATTGGGCCTGCCGTCTTGGGGCTGTCTTGGGGCCATCTTGGGGCCCCCTGGGGCCGTTTTGCGGATCTCTTGGTGTCCGATTTACGGACGCGTCTGGGGGGGCAAAACCATCTTAGGGCGATTTTGGTGGCCTCTGTGGCCATTGTGGAGAGTCGGAAGCCCGAAAAAGAGAGAAAGCCAAAATCATGAACAACTAGGAAATAAATGATTTTGGCCTCGTGGAGCCCTTGGAGTAACCTTGTGGCGTCATGGGGGCCTGTTGGGCAATCTTGTGTGGTATTCTTGGGCCGTCTTGGAACTATATTGGGGTCACCTTGGGCTCTCTTTGGGCCGTGTTGTCCGTCTTGGAGGCGCCTTCAGGCCAGCTTGGATGCCATCTTGGGGCCATCCTGAACGAAAACAACCTTGCCTGTTTCAAGGACAGACAAAATCGCCCCTACCCTGGTTTACGAGGCGTTGTGCGCTGAAACTCCTATGGGCTGACAGGGTAAACCCTGCGTGATGTGCCGCGTCCTGGCGGCTCTAGGCTTTGGGGGTTCCCAGGGGGCTTACAGACCACGCACTTGTAACCCAGGGTAGGGTCGTTTTTTCATCCCTCAACTGCTACCTTCGGGTTTTCCGTGTGGCCGGTGGGCTGGGCGTGTCAAACATTGAAGCATTCGGTGTGCCAGGTACCCCATGAGATAAATCAACAGAGGGCGGCGGATCGAAGACGCCTATGGCGAACCACCACCGCCCCTTGCCTTTGGGAAAACGCCCATGCGGCCAAACGTTGGGCTGCAGTCGTAGGAAGCTATTGGACTTTGTGTTCCCACAGCTGTTCTGGAACCCCTTTGGGGGAACACTTGGGTGAAGAAGGGGATCGGACGAGGGAGTAAAGAGGAGGAGGAGGAGAAGGAGGAGGAGGAGGAGGAGGAACAGGAGAATCCGCAGCCTGGCTCAAGTTCTAAACGCGGGGCCTTGGCGCTTCGAAGTTGGACGCTGCCAAGGGTTTGACCCAAGCGTCCAGATCGAGGATCGACCTCACCTTCCAGACGTGCGCCAAGGCACGCGACAGTTTTGCACGAATGCAAGTACATGGGTAAGACATGGCGATGCCAGGGCTGCTCGCGGGACGTGGCCATGAAACACCGGCAATGCTTGTGTGGTTATAAGTGGCGTGGGCGCTCCTCCAGCCGCCATCGGCGACAGAGCAGCGCCAGCAGGCAGTCAGGCGAGGCCGCAGCAGCCCCAGCCGCCGCAGGATGTCCCGTTTCGTCCGCGGCCGCGCGGCCGGCCGATCGCGCGCGCGGAAATCCAGGCGCTGATCGACAGCGTACCGATGGCGAGCAGAGCGGCAGCGGAGAGCCATTCCAAGTTCATGCGGCCGCCAGCAACCCAGGCTCAGCAGAACGCTTACAAGGCAGACCTCACCCACGGCTTGGAGGCATTGGCGCAACTTGTGCTAGCGACCCGCCGAGCGGGAGCAGAGGACACCCCGTCCCTGGAGGAGATGGCGGTGGTCAGGTACGCCATCAGCGCGATCGACCCACTGGCGACGCGCATCGCCCAGACGAAGTACGAGATGACGGATGCGAGGGAGAAGACCACCAAACTCGGGGAGACCCTGGAGAAGGTCACCCAGGAGCGGGACACCGTTGCGGAGAAATGCGCCTCCTTGGGGGTCGCACTGGAGGAGCTGGAGGCGCAGGAACAGGTGGACAGAAGGCGCGGCAGGAGGCAGCCCAGGCTTTCAATGTGGCCCCACCGCCACAGCAGTCGCCGCCGCAACTGTCGCCATTCACGACCTCGGGCTCAATGGTAGCGCCGCGGCCACCCTGGGCGGGAGCAACCCCGCCCCAGCAGGCACGCCCACCAGCGCAGCCAGGAGCGTGGCCGATGATGATGCCGCAGGACCCCAACATGAACACCACGGACGCGGACACGCAGAACATCCTGGCCTTCCTCCAGGCCTTCCTCATGCAGTTCCAGATGAGGCATCAGCAGCAGCCACAAGGATCAGCTCCCCCCCGCGTCGGCTCGCCCAATGGTGCTGGCAAGTGCCCTTGGGCGCCCTGGCTGGGCCCACTGGCGACAACGCCACGGCAGCTGTCGCTGCGCCCAGCTGGCAGCCCAATGCTGAAGAGGGAAGCCGAGCCGACAGCCGAGGCCCCCGAGGCCAAAGTCCAAGCGGTGCACGAAAATACCACTGGACGGGCCCACCGGCCTCGGCGATCTCGGCCGCGGACTCGCCAACTCCAATTGGCGGGCTCCCGACGCCAGTGGCAGCTTCTTAAGCGGCAACAGCATCGGCGTCTTCCGCGATGCCACCCAAAGAGGAGATGCGCCCCAAGGAGGAGGTTGTGTCCAAGGATCCCTACGCGAGCGGCGGGGTGTTCGGCCCGACCCGATGCGGGGCATGGCGGCGACGGCCCCCGCTCAAGTGGCACCGGTTGCGGATCACTACCTGGCGCCCACCCAGCCGATGGGAACGCCGTCGGAACTGCTGCCAGGCCCCCAT